AAAATAATTCATTTTTATTCAAATGATGCAATGCATGTTTCTTTAAATAGTAATTTATTTTTTGCAATTATCAATAGTTGATTTATATTCGATTTGAGTTTTTTTGATAACGTTGGGGAGGGGACACTTCTCATATAAAGGAGAAATAAATGGGATAGTCTTCCCATTGGAGGATGTGCAAATCTCATGATTTCTTCTCAAATTAAGGAATGATCCTTAATAATTAATTCAAAGAAAATTATTTGATATTCAATAAAAGGATCGTAATTTAAATATTGATACGAATTCACAATTTCCACCATTTACGACGATGTGTAATCTACTAAGTACCGATTTTTGGACGATGTGGTGTGCTTATCATTCCCCACACGTAATCGACTTTCAAACCTTAAAAAAGATTTTGGATAACACATACTAATTTTTATCTTAAAAATGATTTTTCTTAAAATTGTTTTAAAAGACGTTTTTAGGCATTCGACCTACCTAACCCAAAGGTCGATGGCAACTCCATTCAATTTAATTCAAATTAATTTAAAATCGTCAATTTTTCAAAATAAAGTTAATTATTTTTTTAAATAATATTTAATTATTTTTCTAAAAAATGATTATGACAAGCAGAAACAACGGTTCTTTCAACCGAAAATAAAAAAAAGATTACCTGGATCTTAGAGGTGAGTCGCTGGGTAGTAGCTGCGAACGGGTTGTGAAAGATAATTATGGTGAGTCGCCTAGGTTTTGGAGTCTTTTATATATAATATAGAAGAAGACAGAGCGGTTGAATAGGATTGGATGTTAACCTGATAATAGTAGGTTTTATCACCCTAAAACGAGTTAATTGCATAATATGACTTGAAACTATGATCCTTTTTTAAATTGATCTTTAAATTTTTTAATATTTAAATTTTATCCTCAAATTATAACTATCATTCTAAATTAATCCTTAAAATTTTGAGTATTCAAATTTCATCCCCAAACTATGACCATCATTTTAAATTATCCCCTAAACTTTTGTATCTTCTAATTTAATCCCCAAATCCATTCAAATATGAAATTAATTTCAATCACAGTTTGACTTAAAGTTTTTTTTAAAAATATATATAATATAACTTGACCTAATGATTTTATTAATGTGGGATGTGATTAGTATATACATTAGTTTTGGATGGAATTGAAATGTTTACAAGTTTAGGGACTAATTTAGAATGAAAATTGTAGTTTAGAGATGAAATTGAAATATTCAAAAGTTTGAATACTAATTTAGAATGAAAGTTATAATTTAAGGATAAAATTAAATGCTTAAATATTTAGAGACTAATTTAGAATAAGGATCATAATTTGAAGACATGTGATACAATTAACTCCTCTAAAATTTTATAAGTTTGTCTCTAGATATATATATATATATATATATATATATATATATATATATATATATATATATATATATATATACACGCTTTAGGAAAAGCAAGTTTACATATGCAAATAAATTATCAATAAAAAATACAAAAAAATCTAAAATATATATGATAATTTAAAATTTTCAAAAGGTAATAATTACTTGCGACCTTCTTCGGGATATGTCCACTATTTATTTACATGTACCAAATTTTAAAGGCATTGACTTCATAAAAAAGAGTTTGTTAGGTCTACTACCAATAGAATCAAGGATGGATCAAGAAAAGACGAACGGGGACAGTCGTCCACCTGAAATTTTTAAATTCTTCTATATTTTAGATTTTTTATGTGTATTTTCTATTGATAAACCCCTAACATAAAATCTTGTGTCCATCCCCGAATAAAATAATTTCAATGCATTATGTAAAATAAAAGGAAATAATTATTTACAAAAATTCCCTTTGTTTGGAACATGTTTACAGCAAAAGTTAAGTTAAAAGAATGAGATTGAAGAAAATCCTCCACTTACTTTTCATTTCTGAATTCTGATAGTTTACATCAAAATTCACCTATGGTATTATACATTAAACTGATCATACTTAATTTGAACACTCATATAATCATCATGAGCATGTATGCAACATGTACAACACTCAAGGCAGGGATAATAACTAAGATCAAACTTTAAAAATAAATAAATTATTAGCAAAGAGCCTATTCAAAATGGTGCAGTTAAAAGAGGCAATGAACATTAGATGGAAATATCATGTAGATATTTACATAACTACCCTCCCTCTGTGAAAAAAATGAAAATCTGGGAAACAAAACCATGAAGAGTTAAGATTAGGTTTCTACACGAAAGGGAAGATCGCATACTCCGCGTTGAAAAGATTCCATATGAAGCGATAGAACCCCGAGGTTGCTTCCTGCAAAATTTCAATCAAATATAATATCAGGGATGACCAAATTCTCACGCTCCCTGTTGGCATCATGGAAAAACCTCACAAATGAAGCTTACAAACACCGGTCACAACTTTAGAATGTTCAAACATCAAGCAGTTAACAATGAAAATATAAGAGAGCTGAATTAGATCAATAGACTGTTTGCTGCCATAGGTTGCCAAACATATGGATGTAGTCATGCAGGCATGATCATCCGATAATTCAAAAAAGTTTAACCAAAGTGCATCCGGTGCACTTAGGGGATCATATTATTGTTTTCCTAAGAATCAGCCAATGTAAACACTAACAGGAAGAGACATAGGGACTAGACTAGAGTGAAGAAAATGACAGAACTGATGGAGTATCGAAACAAGTAGTAGTGTTTTCAGTATAACTGAAACTAAACATGATTATATTTATTAAATCCATAATTTGATTCAAAGATGTTCATTGTATTTCCTTCAAAACCCATCAACTTTATATGTTGAAGTGTATGCAAGATTCCAATTTATAAAATGTGAGTTTTTACCTATGTGAGTTCACATTTTTTTGAAGTTCTCCAATGTATTAGGAAAGTCTCCAGAGAGCCATGCTAATAGAAGATGGATTTAGAGAATGACGAGGACAAGTAAGAAAGAAGAGAGAATATTACGAAATAATGGAGTTTGTATGGAGAAGACGAGTCCCCCAAATTCAAATAACAAATGACTAGATGAAGAATAAGTTAAAGATCCCTAGACGGTTTAAAGCCTAAGGATTCAGCTATTTACAACCAAAATAAGTCAAACCCTGTATGTGTTTAACTAGTTTCAATGGGATAAAGCCACCCGAGATATCATCAACTTTTCAATAGGATTTTCAACTAAGTCAAACCCCATGTGTTTTAGTTTAGCTACCACTACGTTCTATCGTGGTTTCTAAAGTACGTCCTTAAACATGGTTTTGTATCAGTGAATTCCTACTAGAAATTTGCCTAGCCCTCAGGGTGGAATGTAGGAAACTGAGCAACAGTTGGATCATATTCTTCACAACTGGCTTCTTTGATTGGACATTGACGCCCAGTACCAACAACTCAAGCGTAGGGAGTCCTGAATTATGGAGCCAATGGTGGACCAAAATAGCTTCCGAGGCAACGAACATCTCTCAATCAACATTAACAGGCAAAGAGAGAGGTGTGGTATCGGTCAGAGTTCCCTTTGATGGACGGAGCAAGGAAACATAAAATATGGGGCGAACTTGTGAAAAGGGAAACATAAAATATGGTCAGAGTTATAGATATAACGCATATTTTATTTATATATTTAAATAAATAATAAAATAAACAAATCAAATCCTGTTTATTATATTCATTCTATAATTTAATTTGAATTTTATACGATCAAAATAGGATTTTAGAAATAGGATTCTTTTTAGAAATAAGGAATAAAGAAATCATGGATAAATCCAATCTTTCTTAAATCCAAGTGATCTTTTCGTAGGCGTTTGCCTCCGATTCAATCGAGGGGATCGAATTGATTAAAGAAACATGAGTTTAATTAGTCGATTTATTAGTCAACAAGGAAAAATATTATCTAGGCGAGTAAATAGATTGACCTTAAAACAACAACAATTCATAGGTTATCGGCCTTGCTCTGGGGACTATGAAATAAGGGCCAAAGTAGCAAGATCCCCTTCAAATTTGGGAAACTTAATTTTGGTGAAAGTGTGGTGCTTGGGTTTTGCAGACACCATGGGCTTTCCGCCATCGCTTCGACATCATTTTCTCAAGGATTTCCCTCGATCTCAAACTTATCTCAGGTCATTTACCCTTAACGCGAAATCGAGAGTTTGTTTCAACTTCTGCTACTTGTGCTTTAAAGGCTACTACTTCAGCTACCAAAGCATCCAACATTTTTAATTTAGAAACGATAGATGATAGCTATGAGGAAATAGATACTGGAGAGGGGTCCACAGGGGGGTTGGTAGGTGGATTTGTGAGCTGGTTGGTAGGATCATTTGAATGATTGGTGGATCTAGTATCAACTATTTTGGGTCGAGCACCCTGTGTCTGAATAGATAATAACAACCTACTTGATACAGTGATACCAAATCTGATATGAGCTGGATTTAGAGAATTTTATTTAGAAAATAACAAATGACTAGATGAAGACAGCTAAAGTCCCCTATAGCCTAACGATTTAGATATTTACAACCAAAAGAAAACTATAAACAAGCAGAAAAATAAGGGAGTGTTATGAAGTTGCAAGATACGGGTTTAACCAATGTCATGGGATAAAACCACGCAAGATATCAGCAACAAGCTTTTCAAAAGGATCTTCGACAAAATCAAACCCATATGGGTTTTTAGCTGCCATCACTTCCTCACATGGCTATCTAAAAAAGGCCCTTAAAGGTGTTTCTGCATCACATGCCCCCATAACCATGTCCAAATGTGTTGGCCACCGATACTTTAAGAAAAACAAGAAGTCGGATAGGTCCATACCAAATGTGTTGTCATTCATTCAAAGTAACAGCCAATGGTGGCCTTATCCACACCAAAACTGCCAGAAGGATTGTCAGTCTAGATAAACATTTGCTATGTGGTCATCCGTAATCGCCAAAATTGAAAAATTCATTCAACCAAAGTATATAGCATGTCAAATGCATAAAGTTAGACATTACCTTAGTGTAATTCGCTAGTTCCAACACCCATGCCTGAACCAATATTAAAACAAAATTTTGCATCAGAGACCAACTTTGAGGAAGAAACAACAATCAGTGCATGCTGAACAAACATTACAACGTCAAAATAATACACCAGGTATTAGGTTTCTCATAAATGAGCAATTGTTGTTAAAGTTTAAAACACAGATTCTTTCAAGAATTTCATTTCTGGAAGCAAATAATCAAGAATCATAGATTCCATGTCATTATTATATTTGGAAAAGTCGTAAATCCAGGAGACAGACCTAGAAAATCAAGCATAGCCCCAAGAAGATATGAGCTGGTATCATTAAACCACACCTGAAAGCCTTTAACATGTGAAATTAAAGAATTTACTATTTTTAATAATCTCCCTTGAAGATAGATGTAAGGAAATCAAAACAAATTCTCAACTTCAATGAACTACACTAAGTAAGCAATGAATTCAGGCACAAATACTAGGGAATGATAAAGATTGATTTTGAGAGCTACTCATTCACCTGAGGCACGTATATTGCAGCCAACACAGCAGCAACATGATTCACCAGTAGGAGTCCGGAACCAAGAAATGCAATATTTCTAACGCCAAGCTTCGTTGCTAATGTGGATATTTGAAATTTGTATATGATTGTACAAACAGATCTCAGATACTGATATAGCAAATTTCAGTGACCAAAAAAAGTAGGATAGTTTTAAAATCAAACAAAGAGGAGTAACTTCCAAAGCAAGAAGGAAATCGAGGCTTAGGAAATATAAAGAAAAATAGCTAGTTTGAACAAACATACAAAAATCAATTAATATTTCACAACTCATGAAGGAAACTCCACTGGGGGGTAGGGAAACTTGATATCAAACAATATCAACTGGAAAAGAACAAAACAAACATTATATGTTAAATTGGTCAATAACTTACTTGCGATCTCCTTCTACATCTGGAAGATCTTTGGTTATGGCAATAACCAGCGCAAACAATGTCCCGAAAGTAGTGATAAATGCCACAGGTGCACTGCAGACAGAATACAGGTGAAGGAGATGTTTAGTTCTCTCAACAGTTTTCAACCACGTTTTCATAAAGTTAAACTTCAAATATACAACGATAATGAAATTCCTAAATACAAAATGAAACCTAAGTCAATGATGTATGTTTATAAAAGTGAGTGCCAATCTTGAGAGTTGTAATTAGATGGATGAACGTACAAGAAAGGTTCCACTGCACTCAATGATGAAAAGGAACTCAGAGGCACTTCATAGATGATCAGGGATCAAGTTCATGAACTAATAGCTCCTACTTTTATAAAGACTCAAATAGAAATACAATAGAAGTGATTGATCATTTTTCTTTTTTCATTTGCTTGTGGTCAAGGATATACATATCGACTGTAATGAATGGCACCCAACTCCACTGAAATATTGACCAATATTAATAGGTTAAGCCTAAAAAGTGTGGTTACCCGCCTCCACTGAAATGTAACTCCAAGAGCAGCTCGTGGCATAATAGACTCCAAAATTGAGAAGGAAACCCCGCACCTGCAAATGATAATTTCTTAAATTTTATGTCATTATGACTTTAGAAACAAACATGAAAAATGTGTTCAGCAATAAATGAAGGTGCCAATGTATGCAAAAGAGTGACATTTCCATATAAGTTATGGTAATTATTACAAAACCAAACAACTATTATGAGCTGAGTACTAAGCTGGTACAGTCACCTGATCATACTTCCTTCTTTTCCATTTTACAACCAATTCTAAGATGATACAGACTTCTCTATGTTGACTTCTAAAATGAGTTGCTTCATTTTCTACTATCAAGTAGAATCTTTTGTCCACGCTTCATATGTGATCAGTTTTAGCCTTTTAGGCAATCCATGTTGTCAGCTTGATAGTTCCGTCAATGAATGAAGTTAATAAACAAAATGTGCTTCACAAAAAAGTACCGTGGCAATTATGAGAAATGCCGCAACAGGATATCTTTTCATTCTAAATGGGGGAACAGAATAAATGGTGCCCAGGAAAAGACCAAGAGAGTAAAGAGATGTGATAAATGGGCCAAAGTTGTATCCGAAATCAGAAGGCCCGTCACTGCAAAAAATATCACCAAGAACCATGCTGATTGAACTGAGAGATCCCCTGCAGCTATTCGCAAGTAGGGTTTATTTACCCTGCAAAGTGAAAAAAATGTTATTTACATTACCATCTCTTAAAGTCACCAGTAAATACCCCATAGAAGAATCTTAAATTCTCAAATTTTGTTTAAGAAAGCTGTGCAGTTTTATAGTTCCTGCCTGATCTACAATCCAAGATGAATACTATAACACAACTATATAATTGTAGACACCCGTTTTTGTCCGGGTCTTTTATATTTTATTTTAATTATTGTTATTATTATTATTATTATTATTATGATTATTATTATAATTATTTTTTATAATTTACATTTTTTTGTTTACAGGCCCTCAACTCACCATTACAAAGCCCAAATGGATTTAACCCAGATTACAAGTTCAATCCTAGAGCCCAGTACAGAAGCCCAACCCAATCAACAAGCCAGAACCGATCCGACCAGCCCAACATTCGACCCGGATCAGACCCAGGCCCCTAGGGTTTTTAAAACCCTAACCCTAGGGGTATGATATATGTCGTCGATGCCAGTCCTGCTGTTGCGGCCGCCTGCTCCCGCCGACTCATCTACAGTGACCGAAAATCAACTCAAAGTCAGAAGAACCCCATAAAAAATAATAACAATGCCAAATCATATCCTATTCTATCAATCAATAGGGTAATGACACCCTCTTCCCCTCAACCATCACATTAAGGGGAGGCATCAAAACAAAAGGAGGGAGGATTCGGGTTTTCGAAAAAAATCAAACGGAGAGAGAGGGAGCTTCGAAGAGTTTCAGAGAGAAAAAAATTAAAAAAATTAAAAAAAGGAAAAAGAGAGAGAAACTGAAATCTTACCTTAGATTTGGTGGTCGTGGTCTCACCGAAGTTTGAAGGGCTTATCACCGAAGGTAAAAATAATTTTCCCTTTTTCTTAGATCTAGGGTTTTAAAAAATGGGGGTTTCAATTGTTTGGTAATGGAGGGTTGTTTTAAAATAAAAGAGAGACGGTAGGAGCTTTTCTGGTATTTGGGTCCCCGTGGCCATCGATTCATGGTGGCCGAGGCTTTGGGTTGCCACGTATGGTGCTCGGGGTAGTGTACCATGGTTACGGCTGGAGAGAGTTTGAATAAACTTTCCTCCTTGTGTTTTCGTAAACGGCTGAGAATGGGGTGTTTTGAAACCCTAAACAGGTTATATCATAACGCATGAAACGTCGTCGTTTAAGAGAGGGGAGGGTATGCATGTTTTGTAGAAAAAGGGCTAATATCATCTTTAGTCCTTGATCTTTTGTAATATCTCACCCGTGTTTTTTATTTCTTTAGGGGATAATAGTTTTTCAGGTCCTCTTTATTTGTAACAACTTTATTCTAGCCAGGAATGAACTGTGACTTTTTAATTTGAGATCTTACGTTTCAATTTTTATTTTGTCACTATTTTATGTAATATACCATTCTTGTTGGTATTTGATTTGGTTGCCATCGATTCACGGTGGCCGAGGCTTTGGGTTGCCACGTATGGTGCTCGGGTAGTGTACCATGGTTACGGCTGGAGAGAGTTTGAATAACTTTCCTCCTTGTGTTTTCGTAAACGGCTGAGAATGGGGTGTTTGAAACCCTAAACAGGTTTATATCATAATGCATGAAACGTCGTCGTTTAAGAGAGGGGAGGGTATGCTGTTTTGTAGAAAAAGGCTAATATCATCTTTAGTCCTTGATCTTTTGTAATATCTCACCCGTGTTTTTTATTTCTTTAGGGGATAATAGTTTTTCAGGTCCTCTTTATTTGTAACAACTTTATTCTAGCCATTAATGAACTGTGACTTTTTAATTTGAGATCTTACGTTTCAATTTTTATTTTGTCACTATTTTATGTAATATACCATTCTTGTTGGTATTTGATTTTGGTTGAGATAGTTTCAAATATTTCATTTCAATACTTATTTTCTACATTAATGTATTATTGGGTTAATTATAATCGGCCTTCATCTTTTTGGATTTATTGCATTTTAGTCCTAAGTTTCATTGTTGGGTTATTTTCATTCCTAGTGTCTGAGTTTGCTTAAAATGTAGATTAGGGCTCTGGTATGTTTATATTTGCTGATTAGGTCCTTTAAATTTCTATTTTTCAGTTTGAACCCTTCAAATGTCTGTATTTGCTATTTTAGCCCCTTTAGTTTCTTTATTTGTATTTTTGTCCTTTAAATTTCTATTATTACTGTTTAGGCCCCTAAAGTTTCTGTTTTGGTTATTTTAACCCCTTAAATTTTTGTAATTTCAATTTTAGTCCTTTAACTCTAGGTTTCTATTTTATTTGTTTTAGTCCTTAAGTTTATGCTTTTTGCAATTTTGTCCTTTATTATTTGTTTTAGTCCTTAAGTTTATGCTTTTTGCAATTTTGGTCCTTTAGGTTCTATTTTTTGCTATTTAGGTTCTTTAAGTTTCTGTTTTTCCCATTCTAGTCCTTGTAAATATAAATATTTACTTTTTTATCATTATATTTGGTTATTGTAAAATTGATTTGTATTTATGTCAATCCTCTATGTATGTACATTTTTTATGTTATGTTTTTATTTGTACCATGTGTAATTAAATATGCTTAATTTTATTTATTGTAAATATTTATTACGCATATTTATATTTGTATTTATTTCCATTATGTTTCTTTATCTAATATATGGTATACGAATAGTTTCAAAAACATCGATTTGTAGAATGAGCGTGGAAAGCTTCACTTGGTCGAAGAGGTGCGATCCGATACGACATTTTAACAAAATGTGAACTTGAAATCAATGAACTTTATTTTTTAATTAATTCATTTTGTATTTAAATCGAACAACGGCATGTATGTTTTTAAATAACAATTTATTTCATTTTATGCAAATGTCAATTTTTTTAAATTTGTACTCGATTCACGTTTTATCGAAGATAGAATATTCTTTACGAATGAGAAATAGTCGAGTTAGCTTTTCCGACGAAGGATTGCTAATTTTGAGATTTCTTTTCGAGTTAAAGAATTTTCTCTAATTAATTAATTCGAAGAAAAATTAATCAAAGCTCAATAAATGGATCATATTTTAATTTCATATTCGTTTATAAGTTCCACCATTTACGACAACGTATAAGCGATCTAGTACCAGATTTTGGGCACTGCGGGGTGTTAATCCTTCCCCACGCGTAATCGACTCCAGAACCCAACAAATCGAATCTTTGGTAAACGCATACTAGTTTTCGTCTTGAAAAATGATTTTTCTTAAAATTATTTTAAAAAGATGATTTTAGGTATTCGGCCTACCTAACCCAAAGGTCGATGGCACTCTATCCAATTTATTCCAAATCAATTCCAAATTCCCCAATTTTTCAAAATTAAAGTCATAACTGTTTTTAAAATAATATTTAATTATTTTAAAAAAATGGTTATGACAGCTTGACAACTCTGTTGGGGACTTTTTTTTAGAGAGTCAGGCTGTCAGTCGCTTGTATTTTGTCGTTGTGGTGGAAATTAAGAGTTCGAGTCTTTAGTT